CTATCCAATATTTCTATTATTGTGAATTATAGTATCTATGTTTTTAAAAATCTAGCTTATAAATTAAGGAGAGTTCCTTGAGGGAGGAAGTTTTTCTTACCCCTTTATAAATATCTCATAATTGCATGGGACCTCAGTGCTTTAAAAAAGCTTAAAAATTTTAAAATTTCCATGTATTAAGGAAAAATACATTTAGAGATAGTATTGCAAACTCCTTTTCTTTTGTTGTTTTGTTTCGTTTTTAATCTAATTGGAGTCAGCAGGTAACATGGTGGTTAAGGGACTAAATTCCCATGTGCTTGGTCATGGTTTAAGTCCTGGACCCAGCAGCTTGAACATCATGCCAGGCACATGTGCATGCCTGTGGAAGATCTGGAGAGGAGAATGGAGGAGAAAGGACTGTCACATGACCATCCCCCTTGGGGGTGATTTCTCACTTTCCCTCTTTCTCTGTCTCTTCAGGGAGATGTGCCCTATGGCAAAAACCTAAAACAAAAACAAAAACAAAAAATGATTGTTTGGCAAAAGGATGTTCTGCTATTCATATTATTTTAACATATGAAAGCTTTAATGACTGACCCAGATGTGTTGGCATACATGCTAAGATGCCGTGCTCCGCAAACTGGAACCCATGGGAGGCCTGAGTTCTGTTTGCAGCAGCCTGGATCTTGGGATCCTCCTGCCTCTGTCTCTCCAGATTTCTGTCTTTACAGGCATGCCACTGAGGCCAACTGGCTTGGGCAACATAGCAAGACTTTGTTTGAAAACGCTGGTGTGCTGGCATGCATCTGTGGTTCCAGCTATTAGAGAGGCTTAGGCCAGAAGATTCTCACCTTGTCTTAAAATAAAAAAATAAATAAATAAAAAATAGACTTAACAGCTATTTGTGCAAGCAGCCATAATATTTCAGAGCCTGAATTAGGAAATTATTTTTATGTTATATAATTTTCATGGCAACCTTAATGTATAGGTATTATTATTTTCCATTTTGAATGGAAAAGACAGAAAAGCAGATAGTTTAAATAGTAAATTGCCCTAATTCATATAGATATTATACTAACAGGTCTAGATATATTCTAATGATTTAATGGCAAACAGTGTTTCATATAGAAGGTTGTCAGCTATGCAATTGTTTCTTTTATTGTATTATTAATATTTTAAAGGACTTTTGAGGGTTTTTTTTTTAATATTTTTTAGAGAGAGGTTTTTGCCATAGAGCACGTATGCTTGCTGGAGAGATAGAGAGAAACAGAGAGATAGAAAGTCACAAATCACCCCACAAAGGGGGATGGCCATGCCTCAATCCCTTCTCCTCCATTCTCCTCTCAGGACACACACATGCCTACCTTGAGTTTTAAATCACTGGATCCAGGATTCAAACCACAGTCAACAACATAGGAGTCCAGTAACATAACCATTACACCATCTGCTGATCCTAGAACTCCTAATTTTAATAAAGGCAAAATTATTGGCTTCCCAAGTTGTAAGTGGCTGTACACTTGTGATCTTAAGTAGTATGCGTTGTTTTTTCTCTGGACTCTCAAAGCATGCATTTGGTGGCTTCAAGCATCTCTGACATCATCAGAGCAAAAAAAAAAATTTTTTTTTTTTTTTTGGAGAGATTTTCACTGTAGGGCGCGTGCGCTCGCCAGACAGACAGAGAGAGACATAGAGACAGAAAGCGAGAAATCGCCCCCCAGGGGGGATGGTCACGCCGCAATCCCTTCTCCTCCATTCTCCTCTCGGGATCTTGGGCACGCACGCACACGCGCCCGGCGTGAGTTTCAAGCCACCGGGTCCGGGACACGAACCGCGGTCAACTACGGGGGAGTCCAGCGACATAGCCATTACGCTAA